TGGCCCCCACGGATGGGGTTCGCAACTTGGGCGTCCTCCTGGACTTATGGCTGTCTTTAGAAGAGCATATGACGGCCGTGGCCGGGAGGACTTTTTATCAGGTTCGCCTGATTCGCCAATTGCGTCCCTTTCTGGATCGGGACTCGTTACGCACGGTCACTCACGCCTTTGTCACCTCCCGCCTGGACTACTGCAATGCTCTCTACATGGGGCTCCCCTTGAGGAGCACCCGGAGGCTCCAACTGGTCCAGAATGCGGCCGCGCGGGTGGTGATGGGAGCGATGTGGCGCTCCCATGTGACTCCCCTCCTGCGCGAGCTGCACTGGCTCCCAGTGGTCTTCCGGGTGCGCTTCAAGGTTTTGGTTACCACCTTTAGAGCGCTCCATGACTCAGGACCAGGGTACTTACGAGACCGCCTGCTGCCACCAGTAGCCTCTCACCGACCAGTTCGCTCCCATAGAGAGGGCCTCCTCAGGGTGCCGTCGGCCAAACAATGTCGACTGGCGGCCCCCAGGGGGAGAGCCTTCTCTGTGGGGGCACCTGCCATCTGGAACGAGCTCCCCCCGGAGATACGGAGGATCCAAGACTTACGCACTTTCCGCCGTGCCCTAAAAACATTGTTATTCCAACAGGCTGGTCTGGCCTAACTCTCCCTTTTAAATTGGGTTTTAAATGTTTTACATAAATTTGTTTTTGAGCCCAAATTATTTAATCTATTTTGAATAGCTTTTAACTTTTGTATGTTATTTGTATTTTTATCTTGGCTGTTCACCGCCCTGAGTCCCCTGGGAATTTATTTATTTATTTATTTATTTATTTATTTATTTATTTATTTATTTATTTATTTATTAAATTTATATACCGCCCTATTCCTGAGGGACTCAGGGCGGTGAACAGCAAACAATAAAAATACATGTAATACAAACGTTAAAAAACCAATTAAAATATACTAAACACTATATAAATATGATAATAAATAAATAAATAAAATGTGCAGGGGCGGGACACATGCGGGGGACGCGTGTGCGCATGCACGGGGGGGTCAGATGCACGGTGGGGGCTCGCATTGCATTTGGGGGGGTTCGTGTGTGCGCCTCCTGTGCCCCATTTTGGCCCTGGAAAGCCTCCTTCACCAACCTGGAAGCCAAAACGGAGCAGAGGGGAGCCGGGGGCACATATGTGGGAGATGCATGTTCATTCGCGGGGACTCTTGCGCATGTGTGGGGGAGGGATGCATGCATGGGGGGGCTTGCATTGCGTTTTGGGGGTCCAGGCATGTGCATTTTGGGCACTTGGCACCAAAGAGGTTCACCATCACTGACCTAGATGATTGAGCATCTCTGAAGAGGGGTGGACCAAACGCTATTAAAATCTCCCAGTAATTTGCCCAGCGAGAATATAGACCAGGGATGTCAAACTCAGATCTGGCTGGCGGGGTTCTTAGATCTGGCCCATGAAGTCACTCTGGAAACAGCAAACGACTGGCCCGCCAGTGAAAACGGAGCTCGGGAGGGCCACGCATGTGTCCCGGAGGTCATCGTGGCCAAAAACAGGGCCCGGATTAAGGGGGGGGTCACGCGCGGTCTCCCTGGGCTCTGTTTTCGCTGGCAGAGGGCAAGCAAAACCAACTCAAAGCAAAACAAAAGGAGAAATGTTTCCAAAGGAGAAAGAGGAAAGACAAAGAAAAAGATGGGAAGATGGGAAGAAGAAAGGAGAATGAACAGGGGAAGAAAAAGAAGAGAAGGAAGGAAAGAAAGAAAAAAGAAAAAGGGAGAGAGAAAAAGAAGATAGGAAGGAAGGGGGAGGGAGGGGGGGGGGGAGGGAGGGAGGGAGGAAGGGAGGAAGAAAGGAAGGAAGGAAGGAAGGGAGGAAGGAAGGAAGGAAGGAAGGAAGTTCGAATTTCACCAGACTCAAGGTTGACTCAGCCTTCCATCCTTCCGAGGTAGGTAAAATGAGGACCCGGTTTGTGGGGGCAATAAGCTGACTTTGTATAAAAAAAGAACACCGCTTAGGAAGGGGGGCCGAAAGCCCTACTAAGCAGGTATATACAAAAGGATGAAGGCTATTGCTTAATGCATTGTAAGCCGCCCTGAGTCTCCGGAGAAGGGCGGCATATAAATCGAACCAATAAATAAATAAATAAATAAATAAGGAAGGAAGGAAGGAAGGAAGGAAGGAAGGAAGGAAGGAAGGAAGGAAGGAAGGACAGAAGGAGATTATAATGAGAGTGAGGGAAGGTCTGAGGAAGTCCTGCCTTAGCACTTGGCTACCACAGGTGCCCCCGACATGAGCGACGTTGAGCTGGCCACGCCCATGCCCACCCCGGCCACGCCCCCACCTCCCCCCAAAACAACCCTGATGCGGCCCTCAATGAAATCGAGTTTGACACCCCTGACCCGGAAGATTTCTCACCCTTAAAATAGCCTTTGCACGTCAAAATCGGATCCGCTTACATTGGCCAAATCTTCAGTTTGGGGTCAGTTTTTTTTTTTGTAACCTTCTTCGCCCGATCTTCTCTTGAGGAGAGACCTGCTCAGTGTCCCAAAGGTCCTTTCTTTGTTGACTTTTTTTTCTTGAAGACGTTTCGCTTCTCATCCAAGAAGCTTCTTCAGGTTCTGAGTGAAGAAGCTTCTTGGATGAGAACTGAAGAAGCTTCTAAGAATGAGAAGTGAAACGTCTTCAAGAGAAAAAGAACCAAAAGAAAGTTCCAGTTTGGGACAATCATGACCTGGACGACAGAGAATATTCCATAGAAACTTACTGATCAAGGATATTTTTAGGGCCAAAACTAAACCAAAACATATCCCTGTAGTAAAATCGCTATTCGATCTACTCAGCATGGTAGAGATTCTGGGTCAGAAGAAGTAGAATGAAGCTGGAAATATCAGGAACTAGGTAGGAGAAAAACCTGGAGAGATCTCTTTGGGGGGAAACTAGAAATATTCCTGCCCCTTTTTTCCCCACCAGCAGAGACGTCCAAAGACGTCCTGGGTGGCCCAAATGACCTTCTCATCTTTGACATCGTCTGTGGAATTACAGTAAAAGCATTAAAGGATTGAGGAGGGAGGGAGGGAGGGAGGTTTGGCTTTGGGTGTTTGCCTAGTGCCTGATGGGAGTTGTAGTCCAGTGATACGGAGGGCATTCGGGTGTTGGAAAAAGGGTTAACATTTCATCAGAATTAATCTCTCTTTGGGAAATGGAAAAGGAGGAACGTCCTAGCTTGTTCTCAGTCTTGTGATGGAGAGAGGTCCAAGAAAGGTTCTTGAGGGTCTCTCCATTTTTTTCTCCTTCCCCCCGTTCCACCATTCCTTCGTCTTCTCCGTCTCCTCCTCCTTCTCCTCCTTCTTTTCCTCCTCTGCCTCCCTTTCCATTCCTTCCTTTTCTCCTTCTCCTCCTCCCTTTCCACCGTTCCTTCCTCTCTGCCTCCTCCTTTCCAACATTCCTTCCTCTTCTCCTTCTCTTCTTCCTCCCTTTCCAGCCTGCCTTCCTTCCTCTCCTCCTCCTCTCCTATCCACCATTCCTTCCTTTTCTCCTTCTCCCCCTCCTCCTTTTTCCTTTCTACCATTCCTTTTCTCCTTCTCCTCCTCCCTTTCCACCATTCCTTCCTCTCTGCCTCCTCCTTTCCAACATTCCTTCCTTCTTTTCCTCCTTCTCCTTTTCCACCATTCCTTCCACATCCCCTTCTCCTTCTCCTCCTTCCCTCCACCTTTCTCTTCTTCCTCCTCCTCCTCCTTTTCCACCATTCCTTCCTCTTCCCCTTCTCCTCCTCCTCCTCTTCTTCCTTCTCCCTTATCACCATTCCTTCCTCTCCTTCTCCTCCTCCCCCTTTCCACCGTTCCTTCCTTTTCTCCTTCTCCTCCTCTTCTTCCTCCTCCCTTTCCACCGTTCCTTCCTCTCCTCCTCCTCCTCCCCCTTTCCAGGATTCCTTCCTCTTCTCCGTCTCCTCCTTTTTCCACCATTTCTTCCTCATCTCCTTTTCCTTCTCCTCCTCCTTCCCTCCACTTCTTTCTTTTTTTCCTCTTCCTCCTCCTTTTCCTTCTCCTCCCTTTCCACCGTTCCTTCCTCTCCTCCTCCTCCTCCCCCTTTCCACCATTCCTTCCTTTTCTCCTTCTCCTCCTCTTCTTCCTCCTCCCTTATCACCGTTCCTTCCTCTCCTCCTCCTCCTCCCCCTTTCCAGGATTCCTTCCTCTTCTCCGTCTCCTCCTTTTTCCACCATTTCTTCCTCATCTCCTTTTCCTTCTCCTCCTCCTTCCCTCCACTTCTTCCTTTTTTTCCTCCTCCTCCTCCTCTTCCTTCTCCTCCCTTTCCACCGTTCCTTCCTCTCCTCCTCCTCCTCCCCCTTTCCACCATTCCTTCCTCTTCTCCTTCTCTTTCCCTCCACCTCCACCTCTTCTCCCTCTTCCTCCTCCTCCTCCTCCTCGCCCAAATCCGGATTCTCTCATCTCTCATTGCAAGGGCAACTGATGTGGAGGTAGTTTCCGTTAAGTGGCTTTATTACTGGTTAGATTTTTTTTTTTTCCCCTTTCCTTTTTTACAAATTTTGATAGCGGAACAAACGTGTCACTTCTCTTTTGAGTTTTCAATTCTAAGATATCAGAACGACCAGTTGAAAAGTTTAGGACTTAATTTAAAGTAGCAAAACTCGTATTAACATTTTCACTTCTCTCCCCCCCCCACCGCCCCCTCCCGCCCCTCCCCCATACCCTCTTTTTTTTTTTTTTTTTGTGTAGTTTGCAAAGTGGTCTTGGACGTTGTCATAAATATACAGAGAGAGAGAGAGAGAAATCAAAAGCCGGGGGGGGGTAGGAGAAAAGGAATGGGACAGTAAATAAGGCACGTGGCAGTCTCTGAAAAAATTACACAAGCTTCAGCCAACTTAAATTAATTGCCATTTCCCTGGCCCAGTCCATAATAAAACTGTACATTGACACAAATGTTGTGTGGGCAGTTGTCATTCCAAGCTACACTCCTCCAATCCACGGCAGCTTTCAGACACCGGCCAGATTTGATCGGTCCCAAGTTTTATTTCTTTCTTTGTTTTTCTTTAAAAAAAAAATCCATTTGGAATTTGACTAAGAATAATTTCCTTCCTTCAAATGGAAACCACCATTGGTGAGGAATTGAGTTGGTCATCAGAAAAGGTTGGTCAGCGTCGTCTGTGAAGGGCTGCGGGATTCGTGGACGTCCAAACTGCCGGACACGGAATTCAAGACCGAGGTCACGGAAGGCATGTTAGGGTTCGTCAGGTCTGTGAGGGTGGTGGGAGTCCTGGAGGGGCTCAGGGAGGTGTTGGAGATCTCCGAAGCTGGTCCCGACGGAGTGCCCGCCTGGAGGGCCGGATCGGACGCCTTGTCCACTCCCGTGTTCTCCTGGCGTAAGAGGTTCCGTCGGAATTTGGCTCGGGCGTTCTGGAACCAGACCTAGAACCGTTCCATGGGAAGGGAGGAAGGAGGGAGGGAGAGAGAAGCAGGGAAGGAAGGAGGGAAGGTGAGAAGGAGGGAAAGAAGGAAAGAAGGAAGCAAGCAAGCAAGGAAGGAAGGAGGGAGAAGCGGGAAGGAAGGAGGAAAGGTGAGAAGGAGAGAAAAAAGCAAGGAAAGAAGGAAAGAAGGAAGGAAAGAGGGAGAAGCAGGGAAGGAAGGAGGGAAGGTGAGAAGGAGGGAAAGAAGGAAGGAAAGAAGGAGATGGGAAGGAGAAGGTGGGAAGGAGAGAAGGAGGGAAGGAGAGAAGGAGGGAAGGAGAGAAGGAGGGAAGGAAGGAGATGGGAAGGAGAGGGAAGGAAGCAAATGGGAATGAGAAGGTGGGAAGGGGAGAAGGAGAGAAGGAGGGAAGGAAGGAGATGGGAATAAGAGGGAAGGAGGAAGGAAGGAAGGAAGGAAGGAAGGAAGGAAGGAAGGAAGGAAGAAAGGAAGGAGATGGGAATGAGAAGATGGGAAAGAAGGAGATGGGAAGGAGAAGGTGGGAAAGAAGGAAGGAAGGAGATGGGAATGAGAAGGTGGGAAGGGGAGAAGGAGAGAAGGAGGAAAGGAAGGAGATGGGAATAAGAGGGAAGGAAGGAAGGAAGGAAGGAAGGAAGGAAGGAAGGAAGGAAGGAAGGAAGGAAGGAAGGAGATGGGAATGAGAAGATGGGAAAGAAGGAAGGAAGAAAGGAAGGAGATGGGAATGAGAAGGTGGGAAACAAGGAAGGAAGGAGATGGGAATAAGAAGGAAGGAAGGAAGGAAGGAAGGAAGGAAGGAAGGAAGGAAGGAAGGAAGGAAGGAAGGAAAGAGATGGTAAGGAGAAGGAGGGAAGGAGAGAAGAAGGGAAGGAAGGAAGGAGATGGGAATGTGAAGGAAGGGAGGAAAGGAGGAAAGAACAAATGAATAAACACAATTTTACCCGTGCACTCTGGAGTAAGTGGGATCTCAATTAGGGCTTATTTTGGGAGTAGGGCTTATATTGGGCACACGTGTAAAAATCAAGCTAGGACTTACTTTCTGAGTAGGTGGTATTTTTGGGGAAACAGGGTATTTTGGGGGGATGGGGTGGGGTATGTGTGAGATAAGCAAAGGGAAATAGCCACCGGATGTCACCCAGGCAAAAATGTTTCCTCTCCTTCTTGTTGCGCTTGTTTGTCGATATTTAAATATTAATATTTATTTTTATGACTGCCTTTAGATCAGGCGTCAGATCGTTTCGGAAGAGCTGCCAGCCTTACATGCGAAGATAAATTATTAATACTTTTAAAATAATAACACGGGGTTGGGGGGAGAGAGAAAGAATCATATTAAACATCTGGAGCAGCTCAGAGGAATGCGAGGCGATGGATCCAATTAAATGTGATTATTAATAATAGAAACTCTCGGAGCTGCATCCTCAGCGCTTCTCCATAAGGCATTCACCTGCTCCAAAATAAGGATATTTTTAAATAAATACAGGTAGTCCTTAACTTACGACCACAACTGGACCTAAAATTTCCGTTGCTAAGCGAGACACTTGTTAAGGGAGTTTGCTTTGTTTTACGACCCTGCTTGCCACAATTGTTAAGGGAATCACCACAGTTGTTAAATTAGTAACATTTATTTATTTATTTATTGGTTCGATTTATATGCCGCCCTTCTCCGGAGACTCAGGGAGGCTTACAATGCGTTAAGCAAACATGGTCGTTAAGTGGATCCTGCTCCCCCCCCATCGGCATTGCTTGTCAGAAGGTCACAAAAGGAGGATCATGTGACCCCGGGATGCTGCAAACCGTCATAAATACGAGTCAGTTGCCAAGCATCTGAATTTTGATCCCACGAACTATGGGTTGTAAGTGTGAAAAACTTACATTAATGACCATTTTTTCCCATGCCATTGCAATTTCAAACGGTCGCTAAATGAAACATTGTAAGTCAAGGACTGCCTGTATGTGATTCAGGCAGGAAGGAATTGAAACAGAAGAAGAAGAAGAAAATTTTTTTTTCTGCTTTAACTTGTGATGTCTACGTGGAAATTACAACAGGTTTTTCAATTTTCCAGGCCATCTGCCAAGGTAGAATAAAACCATTTTAGGGTTGAATGAATTCTTGGCTTCAGAAAATGCCCCCCCTTTTTTTTCCCAGCAGGATGACACGGTAGGTCGGCCGAGAATTTTATTAAGGCAGGGGAAAAAAAAGTGATTTTCATACTTTTATTTTTTCAACGTCAGAAAAAGGGGCTATCATACGTTCTTTCTGGATTTTCTTCGCAGTAGAAAAGTGAATTCGGAAGTGAATTACAGTAGTGGCCAAAATTGTGGAAACCTTTTGGGAAAAGTGTATTTTCTGAAACTAGCTAATAACACCAATTTTTTTTTTTTTTTTTTTGGAGTAGTACAGTGGTGGGTTTCAAAATTTTTTACTACCAGCTCTGTGGATGTGGCTTGGTGGGTGTGGCAGGGGAAGGATACTGTAAAATCCCCATTCCCACCCCACTCCAGGGGAAGGATACTGCAAAATCTCCATTCCCACCCCACTCCAGGGGAAGGATACTGCAAAATCTCCATTCCCACCCCACTCCAGGGGAAGGATACTGCAAAGTCTCCATTCCCTCCCCACTCCAGGGAAGGATACTGCAAAATCTCCATTCCCTCCCCACTCCAGGGGAAGGATACTGCAAAGTCTCCATTCCCTCCCCACTCCAGGGAAGGATACTGCAAAATCTCCATTCCCACCCCAATCCAGGGGAAGGATACTGCAAAATCCCCATTTCCTCCCGATCAGCTGGGACTCGGGAGGCAGACAGTAGATGGGGGTGGGGCCAGTCAGAATTTTTACTACCGGTTCTCCGAACTACTCAAAATTTCTGCTATTGGTTCTCCAGAACTGGTCAGAACCTGCTGAAACCCACCTCTGGAGTAGTACCATCAAATTATATATCAATGGAAAGATCATTTAATCAAGAATGTAATGCATTAACTTTCAGGAAGGATTTGCTATTAGAATAGCAGTTACAGTACAAAGAAGAAAAGGGAAACACGTAGAAAAAACGAGATATACAAAAATTATCCCCATGTCAGTTAATACGTAGTTGGGTAACCTTTAGCATGAATGATGGCCTTACAACGTCTTCCCATGGAGTGAACCGAGTCTTTTAGTTCTGCAGCTGTTACACTGTGAAACCCAGATTGAATGATTTAATTTTAAATGTTTTAATTGGTTTGTATTTTTAATTTTGGGCCAAATTTATATATATTTTAATTGTTTTTAATATTTGTATTTCATGTTTTTTAATTCTGGCTGTACACCGCCCTGAGTCCTCAGGGAGAAGGGCGGTATATAAATTTAAAATAAAAATAAAAATAAAAAAATAAATGATGGCTTCTATTAACTGGGTTTTACTGCTGGGTCGCTTCTGACTAACCAGTTTCTTTAGTCGGCTCCATAGATTTTTACTTGGGTGAAGGTCTGGGCTATTCCCAGGCCATTCCAGCAGCGGAATAGGATTATCTTGAAACTCCCAAAAAAAAAGTGGTGTTATTAGCCATCAAACCTCAAAAATACACTTTTCCCAAAAGGTTTCCCCAATTTTGGCCACGACTGTACAAGGAAGCAGAGAATCAGTCCCATAAAACAATCTTCTTTTGAGTTGCATAATCTTTCCAGCAACAAGTGCAATGCAAACTTTTCATTTCTTTGGGTGGGGAAGAAGCAGAATCGTGCATTCGTTTCTTAAAGGAACAACAACCCTCTCTCTTTTTTTTTGCAAGAGGGAAATCTCATGCACGACTACATTATTCCTCAGGGAGAAACTGAGGCAGGGAAACAAAGCAGTTAACGGGGGAAGGCGTTAAAGGCAGAAGTCTGCATTTTGCAAACGGGCTTGGCATGGTTAGATCGTATTTCTTCCAGGTGCCCTTTTGCAAAGTGAGGTGCCAGATCTGGAATGATGAAATAAAAATTAGGAAACTGTAACCCATAAAACTAAGATCATGGCATCCGGCCCTCTCAATTCCTGGCAAATAGATGGGGAAGAAATGGAGGTAGTGACAGATTTTATCTTCCTGGGCTCCAAGGTCACCGCAGATGGGGACTGCAGCCAAGAAATGAAAAGACGCTTGCTCCTGGGGAGAAAAGCCATGGCAAAGTTAGACAGCTTACTAAAAAGCAGAGACATCACCCTGCCAACACAAGGGCGTATAGTCCAGGCGATGGTTTTCCCAGTTACAATGATGGCTGTGAAAGTTGGACTAGAGGTGAAATCCAGCAGATTCGGACAGGTTCTGGAGAACCGGTAGCAGAAATTTTGAACAGTGAGAGAGAACGGTGAAGACCTGACTTTTCCGGCAGGCCTCAGGACGTTGATCTCGCTCTTGTGATCTGGCGAGATCCGGCCATGAATGGCGTGAATGAGTTTTTAATGTTTAAATGTTTTTTATAATGATTTTTTAAAATGTGAGCCGCCCTGAGTCTTCGGAGAGGGGCGGCATATAAATTGAATTAATTAAATTAAATTAAATTAAACCGGCAAATACCACCTTTGGGTGGCTCCCGAGTGGGGTGGGAATGGAGATTTTGCAATATCTTTCCCCTGCCACGCCCACCAAAACATGCCCACGGAACCGGTAGTAAAAAAAATTGGATTTCACCACTGAGTTGGATCCTAAGGAAGGTTGAGCGCCAAAGAATTGAGACCTTTGAACTCTGGTGCTGGAGAAGACTCCTGCGAGTCCCTTGGACTGCAAGGCGATCCAACCGGTCAGTCCTAGAGGAGATCAACCCTGAGTGCTGTTTAGAAGGCCAGATCCTGAAGAGGAAACTCAAATGCTTTGGCCACCTAATGAGAAGGAAGGACTCCCTGGAGAAGAGCCTGATGCTGATGGAGGGCAAAAGAAGAAGGGGACGGCGGAGAACGAGTCGGCTGGATGGAGTCACTGAAGCAGTCGGCGTGAGCTTAAACGGACTCCAGAGGATGGTAGAGGAC